CCCGGGATTCTATGCCCACCTCTCGGTGTGAGTGGGCCCCCACACCCGGCAGACCAATCCCGAGAAGCGCCGCCCGGGGGGGGGGAGGGGCGGGGACGTTGGACACGGGACCGGCTCGGGAGTGTGTGTGTGTGTGTGTCCAGGCAGACAATGCGGTCTCAGTTGTCACAATCTCAGTCGTGGGTTGATTTTGGGATAAGTCGTGTTTTCCTTTCCCTGACGACGCGGCGTTCGCGGATAAGAGACAAGGGCGGTTTCGATGTGATGCACATAGAAGAAGCACATCTTCCCCCCTCACCATCACCAAGGGGGCCCTTCCATCGCGCAGACCATGGCCTGCCGACTCGCTGCCGGGGAAGGGGACATAAGATCTGGTTTTGCGGGATCCCCAGTAGGACCCGTCCCGTCATATCATCCCAAACAACCAAAAAGAGCCAACAGGGGCGACCCGTGATCCTCTCCCTCCCTCCCTCCCTCCCGTCCCCGTCCCGGCTACGAATAGCGAGATATCATCACGGTTCTCGAGTACGACTGCCCATACGTAGACCTATAATTCCCAACCCCGCCGTGCGAAGGCACCAAAGCCTGACCTCCTCCCCTTTAGACGCGCCGTCGCCAGTCGTCCAGCCAGCGCGCTTAGCCGGCGGGGGGGGGGGGGGGGGGGGGGCGTCGATAGACGCGTGCTGAGCTGTCGCCGTGGGCGCCCACAAGTCCAGGCCGAGGACGAGGTTGATTGTGCCTCTTCTTCCCCCCCCAAACAAGCTCTACAACTTAGCAGTAGTAGCAGTTGTAGTGGACTTCTCGGTGGTGGGTGTCTTTGACTCAGACCGAAGCAACCCCCCCACCGCCCGATCCGTTGTTTTTCTGCTGTTTGTAGTACCTACCCATCCAAGACAACAAAAGACAAGGCAGACGAACAAGACGACGCCACGAGATCCGGGACGCTGCAGATGTCTTGCGGCAGCGTTCCGAGGTGGTGGTGAGCAGACCAGCAAGACGAGGAGGGGGGGAGAGGGCCTGTTCGAGACCAGGGCGAGAAGTGAGACATGCATGAATACGCGATCACAAGGCCCTCGAGATTTCGTCTTTCATCATTGCAACCGCGCGCTCGTGTACGGGAAAAGGTGTCATCGCCGGCAACAAGATAGGTCAACTTTTTCCCCATGAATCATAATGCTGTTGTTTCGATTCAATGACTGTTCTAGATTGTCCACTCCAAAGTCTCCTCCAAAGTGTCCTGTTGTGGTATCATCCCTTCGCCATCCCGGCGGCCCCTCCCAAACCCCTGTCCCGACTGTCCATCTGTCTCTCTCTCTCTCTCTCTCTCTCTCTCTCTCTGTGTGTGTGTGTGTGTGTGTGTGTGTGTGTGTGTGTGTGTGTGTGTTTACATGCGGCAAAGGCAAAACGCTGGCTATCTATACAAGTCCAAACCCGAATCAAGTGCAAGGACGGCTTATCGAAACAAGTCTATACCCCCAAGAATCGTTTACTCCCATCGGTAAACGCCATCGTCGTAGAGGACACGGTGCCTCCGGCTGCCCGGCCCTACCGTCGCCCGGCGGCGGGGCATCATGCGTTCCATCAGCCGGCGGCGCTGGGCCTCCTCTTCCTCCTCCTTCTCCCGTGCCTCACGCGCCTCGCGCGCGCGGCGGTCGGCAATCTCCAGCCGGCGCACGGCATTGGCGAGTTCCAGGTCACGCTCCTGATCGGATAGGGTAGGAACGAAGCTCGGGGGCGTGCGGTTGAAGGGCATGGCGCTGCGGCGGGCGATTTCGGCGTTCTGCGCGGCGATCTGCAGGCGTTTGCGCTCCTGGCGCTCCTCCTCCTTCTGGCGCTCGCGCTCCTCCTCTTTCTGACGCTCGCGATCACGACGACGGCGCCGGTGCTCTTCGTCGTCGGCACCGCTGTTGCTATGGCTGTGGCTGTGCCGCGAGTCGGAGGAGTTGTGGCGGCGATGACCGTTGTCAACAACCTCGATCTCAACCTTTGACCGCGGTGTGCGCTCGTCCACGATGACGGGGCGGAGAGAATCGCGCGGGACGTGGCTGTAGCGGAAGTTGGGGCTGTTGCCGCCCGCGTTGGGTGAAGGCGGCGCGGTGTAGGGTGATGCGTACTGCTTGGGAGGCGTGCGAGGGGTAGGCGGGGAGTCGACGATGACGATGCGCTCGGCACGCGAGCGGTTCTTGCGGTTGAGATCCAAAACTTTCTGTCCGTTGACGTAGATACCAGACTGCCGGCGTTTGCGTTCGCTCGAGGAAGACTCCCGGCGAGTGCGATCTCCGTCGGCGCCTGAGGAAAAGCCTCGAGGTGAGCCCAGTGGAGGAGTTGGCGGCATCTGCTGAGGGAAGGAGTACGAAGGTCCGGTGGGGGGGTAAGCTACAGCACGAGGCGGGTGGTTGTAGACGGCGGGGTTGGCGCAGAAGCGGCCGCTTCGAGATGCAGTACTGCAGTAGCTGGGCTCTTGGTACTCGCGCCTCCGGCCGTCGGGGTAGACGTCGATGTAAACGTCGGTAGTGCACATTGTGCTTTGTTTAAACGTATCAAGGCGCAGCGTGCGCGGGTTTGGTGGTGATGGTTGAACTATCTCCGGAACGAGGTGAGCTCGTTTCGCGGATGTTATCGTCTGAGAGGAGAGTGTCCTCGAGGGACGGGTTGTATGTCGAGATTCCCGGTTGATGTTGGAGGGACGACGAGACCTGTACTTGTGGACGATGGTGTTGTCGAGGTAATGGGATTCTGGTGAACGGTAGGAGGACAACGTGATGGTGCCGATGGGCCGAGTCAACTATGTGAGAGAGGGTTGAGCGACGATGTGTGATCTGAATGTTTGGTGGTGTAAGCTGGTTGGTCTGTTGAGTGAAGAGGAGCGGCGAGGGTGAAGATATATACCAGATGGGAGCAAGAAGCAACACGTGAGAGAGAGGTTGAAGATTGTCGAATAACTTCTGCCTAGGTATAGGTAGTGTGGATCAACCAGATTTGGCGGACAAGGATGATGAGTTTGACTGTCTTCTATGTGCGGGAGGGTATCGAAGTGTAAATATTCCAAGTGGAGTTATCGAGCAGCGTAGGAACAGGATGTCTCGAAAAGAAACGGCGTCTGAATTAAATATCGTCGAGGCCGAAGAAGGGCACTCATAACGGTAGTGAGAGGGAGCATGGGAGAGGCAGGGGTGGGGATGGGCGGTACCAAGCGTCAGCCGCAAAAACAGCGGCGCATCGCAAGTATCGTGGGCCGAGATGGTGGGATGGGATGGTGTGGTGTGGTGTGGAGATTGAGAGTGCATGGTGCGCCTGCATCCCCTCGTGTCTTCCCCCTCCCCTGTTAGACTGCTGCCTTCGACGGTGGGACAGTACGTATCCGAGATCGTGGCCGAAATGAGTCTTTGGCCCAGCTAGGCCTCTTTCGTGCTCATAGAGACCCGTCTTGTGGATGAAGGCGTTACCATGTAGGCAGGGTCGCCAGACGCAGGTGCAACGCCTCGTTGTTTGTTTGCGAGGCATGTCACTCTGGCGCGCTCTTCTGCTGGCGGAATTCACGTGGGTGGCGCCTGGTTCACAGCCTTTTTCTCGTAGAGGCCGTCGGAACCAACTGTACCACCATCCACCACCGTAAAAGGAGGCGGAGACGCGGGCCAAGTGACGTTTGTGGAGGGCGCAAGGGGGTGATGGTAAGCCCGTCAAATGGAGGGCGTCGGAGGGAACCAAGGACTCTTGACAGGTCGAACGGTGCATAGTGGACGTGCATAGTGTTTCTGTTTCTCCTTCGCTCGAGTGCTCAGTCGTCCCCACCAACGGAGCTCCTAGACCTGAGGACTAGTTGGTGTAAGTCGAGATGCGCCGCGTGACGGCGAGCGGAATTGAGGACTCAATGGCGGGGTCCGGTTCAGCGCATATTGATTGGGAACCGGCAGGCTGGACAGCACAACGGCGCCCTTCTTGGCTTGCGCCGTCGCCATTCTCATCCCCGCCATGGCTCTCGTCGTCCTTTGGCCAGCGTCGAAGTGAGTGTTGCGGGCCGCCGTTGACTGTGGCCGGTGGCTGTCGCAGCCTTCTGTGAGAGATAGCGGCGACTGCAGTTGTATGGACAAAACAGCGAAATAATATTTTTCCCTGGTTAGATGCTATTTTGGTTTGTGTGTGCACTGTAGAGCGCAATGCCCATCTCACACCCAACGCGACTCTCACCCCAGGTCGTCATTTACTTGACCCAAGGGACGGGCCAGCCTTGGTTGGGCCCTTGGAATAGGCCAAGGTAGCATAGACAGCGGCAACCGAAACACATGGTGGTAGCTGTGGTCTGTGTTCGGTGTGGTCCGTCGTCTCTCTGAAGCAATGTGACAAGCGACAACCGCCGTCGCGCGCGAGTCGCAACGGTTCCTTGCATCCTGGGTCCATCCAGCCCAGTCGAGATGGCAACCAGTCACGGCGGCCTGGATTCGGTGAGGGGACGAATGACACCTGAGTCACTCACCATGGCGTCCTGTCAAGGCCTCATGCAAGCTCTTTGTCCGTAGCCTGGGGCCACAGCGGTGGGCAGTGACAGTGATTCTCCTAGTGGTCCAGGTCGGATGTCCCCACTCGTTTGACTTTACAGATGGTAATATGGGAATGCACGAGGCCGCGATGGGGGGCAACCGATCATCGACGGCTAGGTCCAGGGCATGTGTATGGTTGAAGGGCTCGAAAACAACAATGAGAAGCCAGTCAGTCCGATCAATTCCCTTGGACGGGCCCATGGCCACGGAAGGATCGCAGGCTGCAAGGGGAGCCACTGAGGGCTTGACAAGGTTGATGATGGTGGTGCTTGTCAGATTTGCTAGTAGTAAAGAGGCGCGAAGGCTGTGCACGTCTTCAACGTGATAGAGGTCGGCTCCGCCACCATAGGCTGGTTCTCCTACGGACAACCCGACATGGCCAAGCCGTTGCGTGGCAGTTTTTCGCGCAGACGGACACGGATTGAACGAAAGCTTGACACATTTCGTCATCGTGGCTTTGCTGGTTCGGATCGCATCGTGTGTCGCGGGGCCATCGTGCGTGCGTGCATGCATGGCAGGTTGGGAGCTCCTTTGGTCGAGAGAGACAGTGGAGGAGGTGGAGATGTGAGATGGATGACGGACGAGGAGGGGGGGGGGGGGGGGGGGGGAAGGGCGACACAGACTCCCGTCCGTATCCGTCCCTGTCCGTGTGTCCCTGCCATTCTTGTTGCAGTTGCAGGTACGTACCCCTTTACCGCACTGCACCTGCCTCTCCATTCCGTTCCTTCTCCACCAGCAGGCAAGCAGGCAGGCAGGCAGGCACCAGCACAGCTCCATGCTCTCTTTCCGTTTCCAGCAGAGCAGCTCTCTCACCTTGATGACTAAACCTACCGTCGCGAGGTCACCCGATACGGCTGCCAGGCTGCCAGGCAGAGAGAAGATACGTACCTGCATGTCGCCTAACGTCTGCCTGGCCGCATACGATGCACCCAAATCCTTCAATGAATGAATGACTGACTGACTGGCTGACAGACAGAAAAGTCGCGAATACACTAGAATCTTGGAGTCCTAGAACCAACTCTGAAACTCCTCTCGATTCCATCATTGGCTAGTGGCCGCGTCTTTGCCAGGTCCCAGAACGCGTACACCACCACCACCACCACATCGGACGCGTCAATCCATCCAGGCACACACATACACACACACCACCTCCAATCCTTCGCCGAGACGCTCTTCTTCATCTCCCATCCTCCGGTCACCGCCAACACAGGATGGAAATAGCCGGCACTGCCTGTCTCGCCGCGATCGGCTTCCAGACCGACCACCTCGAGGTTTCGACGAGGCAATTGTCTTCCAGTGGCAGGCGACGCTTTGATTGAAACGTACCATAAGGCTGTGGGATTCCATCCCCTGACGCCCGCCCATATATTTCGCTGCACGAGATCACTTCTCCAGCCACAATTTGGGGGCTGTTTGTCGGAGGCCGCTCGGAAAGGCGCGGGCGGCTTCAATTCTGCAAAGAAACAAAAAGAAAAAAAAAAATCTTTTTTCCTTTTCATAAGCCGTCCTACACAAACTCCGACTCCGATCTCGACATCATATGACTTCCATGTAATGTTCTGCTACCTGCGGATGGATCCAGACACGACGAGAAACGACAAGCGGCCTTCCGTCATGCCCCTCACAGCCTAGCGAGGCAGATTTCCTCCCCTGGTGCGGAGCAGTGCCTAGCGCCAGTCTACATGGAACCCCCCTCCTCCCTCTCTCTCCACTCCTAGGGCTGCCTCCGAGTCGGTCCGGGCCTCCGACCAGAGGGCGAGTTTTCTGGGCATCTGCTGCTGGAAGATGGTGCGTGCACTCAACACAAACATCGGTTCATGACACGGACCAGTACTATTCTTGGCCTCAGTGTGTGTCATGCAGATGAACCCACCTCCCACCACGTTTCTCCAATACGACTCTTGAGAGGCAGATCGCTCTTGTTAAGGTTGACGTAGATCTTAACATGTCAATGTCCAGGTTAAAGCATTCATACAACGTCGCACTCAATTAGCCAAGGCGCACAATTTAGATTTAAAGCGATCAGCCCGTGCTCCCGTCACGGCAAGTGGGCTTGCCTGCGGGTTTGTAGTCAATCGCATAAGCATTTCAAACATGGGCTTCAACGATGGCAAATCCTATGCCAGACTAGTCCCTGTTAACCATACTGCTAATAATAACAACACCGGGGGGCTTTACGTCTAGTTGTTTCCTAAAGAGAAACCCTCCAACAATATAGAGATTACTGTATAGCTAACAGGCCGTAACGAACCGCAGCGTCTGTTAGAAAGAATGTAAACGTAGTTGTCTTATCTAGAAACGACGTATGAAGTGTTATCAGCTATAAATATCTAATGAGGTGATCTGTGCATATAGTAAGCTACATCTGCGGCGGCCACAACTAGTACTAGCCACATAAAGCTATTCCCAGCATCGACACAGGCAGTACGAGACATGGAATAGATCCCCCATCCTTCTCTCTCTCTAGAGGATGTACATAAAGAGAAGCATTAAATAAAACACATCCAAAAGCTTGGCTAATCTTCTGTCAATAAATTTCTATATGAGAATAGCCCCATTTTATAAGAGCCTAGTATGTGTACGCCTGTCTGTAGCCCATAGACCCAGCACCGCCTCGCTAACGCTGTCTGGGTTAACCGGAGTATACGAATAGGCTACTCCGGCAGCTCTTCAGTTTGATTTAATCATGATATCTTATTTCCGTATCGCCACAATTGGGGTCAGGAATAAGTCGTCAAAGCGGCCCATCGATAGAAAAGGGGTACGGGGTCAAGGAGGGCATATATATACTTTTGAAACACGCGTTCCCACACGCGGGTGGCCCTTTGAATACGTATCAACTAACTGAATGATAATTCAAGTAAGTACTTACCTATTTACCCGGAACCATGCGAAGCTGTCCTCGGCCGCCTGTTTTCTGAACTCTTACAAATCCTTTCAACTTGGCCAAATCCGATAATACCTCCGCCTCCCGTTGCTGATAATTAGTTTTAGTTTTTTTCTCCGTTGTTCCAAGTATGGGACAGTATTGTGTGTTGAGGCGTGTCTTCATCTGATCTAAAGTTCTTCTTCTAGCCGCCGCACGAGCCGATGTGCCTCATGATGAGGTTATGCCATGATCAACCGATTCTTGATACCCCGCGACGCTGAGTAGACATGACGCTGAGAAAGGGAACACGGTTTCAGAAATACAGCAAGTCCTGCCCTCCCGCAACTAAGTTTATAATTGAAGCCCTCGGTATGCTGCTCGCTGATGTCGCCGGAGCTTTGATAGAACGAGACGTCGCCATGAAGGACGAGGTTAGAGAAAGCTACTGTCAAGAACTTGACGCGGCCTATTCAAGTCATGGAGGAGCTCCCAACGAAAAGTGATTACTCGACAAAATGCTGAAGTGCGGTCTGGTGCAATCGCCATTGATGGAGAGGTCAATTCGCGCATGGTACGCAGGCCTCAACCAACGTTACTCTCCGCAAGTCGGCATCTTGAGGAGGGGGCCTTGCGCTATCACCTGCATCGTCGCCATCACCAGATCCGATACCTAGGAGGATGTGACGCTATTCACAAATAGAAAAAGAAAGAAGGCTATAATTAACACGGCCAATCATCTTATACGCATTCCTGTGGTTCCATGTGGGGTTTTCGCCATATATAATCATCGGCTGCTCTTCCTCTCGTCTACCGATTCCCATACTCTGCACGTTTCACCTCTCGGGTTGACTGGCTGTCAAGACCCCACAACCCCCCAACTTAAAACTCAGGCTCCTGTTCAATTGCTATACTTAGAACCATAGGATTTCCTGCGGCATGTCCTGGAAAACTTCGGCTTCGGTTGCACTTCCTTCGACGTCATTTTGGCCCCCTTAGCCCGTCTTCGTCGACACACCATGGCAGATGACCCTAGTCGACGATCCGCCTCGGGTTACCTCCGCAACTCGACCTTCCACATCTGGTAGTTGGTCGCGTGTGCAGAAAGGCTTCAGAAAGGGGCTGTCCTGGACATCGCGGCATTTCGAACCGGCTGCGAAACGTCCTCCAGTTCTTGGCTGCGGGTAGCGTGTTTCCTGACAGCTTCCCAGGCCAATGACATGAGCCGACATGATCTGCGAAGGGGCACACCAGCACGACGGGCCATAGGCCTGTGCGATGTGGATGGCTTCAAACGTTTGAGCCGCTTCGCTGGCTCCTGGCGCGACTTACTGGAGTGGTTCAATTCAGCTGGGATGATAATAGAACTCGTGAAACGCAGAACAGGTGTTGGAGTACAAAGATAGCAAATCCTGTTAGGTTTGCTGTATAAGCGAACTGCATTGCTAGGCCGGAGTCTTTGGCTACTTAAGAGACGAGTATCTCTTAAGGCCATCGTATCTACTCACCCTGCCATCATTGACCTTGACAAGGCAATCATCCAGCCAACTGAGACTTCGTAGCACCATCACTTGATTGCTCCCACTTCTTCGCTGTCCCAGTCTACAACCACCAGACGCCACTGCAGCCATCATCCTCCCAAGGCGCCAACGAATCCGCCAAGATGGTTTACAGTCTTCAGTCCTTCTTCGATATCGTCCTCTTCACTTCTATTATATTATTCACTTCTATCACCCTCCCGTTGACCATTCTCGCGGCGCCGATTCACTCCCTCAACATTCGCAACAATGGCGCAACGACAGCATTCACCGACCCGGTGACCAACATCTCCTTCCAGCGCTTCTTCGGTGCGAAGTCCGGCTTCGCCTTTGGCATCGCCCTGCCGCAGAACCCCAACGACTCCTTCATCGGCCAAATGTCCTTCCCGCTAGGCAGCGGCGCGGCTGGCTGGGGCGGCTGGTCCCTGACCAGCGACATGGAGGGCCCGCTCCTCATGGCGGCTTGGGCGTCGCCTGACGGCAAGGTGCTCTCCTCGTTCCGCCAGGCCGCCAACGAAGACGACAACCCGCCCGAGGTGACGGGCAAGTTCAGCGTGCGACCCATAGCTGCGGGGACGTCGGTCAACGGCAGCTTCCTGACGTACACATTCCTGTGCCAGGGGTGTCTGGACGCCAGCTTCGGACTGGGCGCTGCGGACACGGCGGGCACGTTCGAAATGGGATGGGCGCTCGGCAACAAGGCGGTCGGGAACCCGGGGAGCTCGGCCGCGGTACTCAACTTCCACAATGTGGGCTTCGGCGGCTTCGATGCCGACCTTCAAGCCGCGCGCTTTGCAGACTTTGACACCTGGGCTGCGCTTGCATCACCAACGCCGCTGACCCCGTCCGCGGGCGCCACAGCGTTTGCACCTGGCAAAGGTGGCGACGAAGACGACGACGACGACGACGACGACGATAAGAAGAAAAAGAGCGGAGACAAGAAGAGTGGAGATGATGGAAACGATAGCGATGATGACGATGACTGAGTGTACTTATAGCAGAACGTTTCCTTTCCTGGAAGAGCAGGTGGAGTAGCTACGCTCTCAATATCCTCTTTTTAGCGCAATCTTAAATGGCAGATGACTCGGGAAGCTATTCCCATTCTCGTACAGTTTTCTACGTCAGTGAGGGTGACATACGTCTTGAAGATTGTTTCAGGCGCCTTGATTCATCTTTTCTGAATCTCCAACTGTGTAACTTAAGGCGTTTAGCAAGCTAATCATCTTGGAAGTTCGTTAAGAAGCATCTGGTCTCGAATGATAGCCTGTGTGGGTGGGTGTGGACACTTAAGTCCCCATATAGAACCTATTCCAGGAAGTCACCAGTCGCTCCTCCATGACTGCGGCAAGGGTGACCCCTTCGTTTGGTTATGCTCCACGATCATTTCTTGAACTCGCATTTTCTCTCATCTCATTGCATCAAATTCATCCACTAAGCCAATTGATAGTGGCTCCTGGGGCAAAGTCAGGCCAATGCGCTTCTCAAATCAGGACCTTCGCTCGGGATGTAACCAATCCATACCCACTTCCATATAAGCACGACGCAAAGCATAACTGGTATAATAAGCAGTAGTACAGCTGTTAAGGCAAGGCCATATTAACCAAAAATTCTCGCACCAAGACCAACCTCCTTGAACATGCCAATAACAAAGGACGCTACTGCCAAACCTCCTAGCATTAGGAAGATCGATCTGCCAAGCTTCTTCAAAGTCGGCCGCCATGTTGAATACGACTTCCTATGCTGCTGCCTACTTTCTCGTTCTTGAAGGGAACCTGCTAGAACGAACAGGATAAGTATGACCAGGACCAAAGCCCCAAGTAGAACAACCCCCCCAATGAAGTCGTAGAGTAGATTGCATAAATCCTTGAAGCGTGTGCTTATGCTGAGGATGCCAGCGGAAAACGACATAAGTAGAAACACGGTAGCCAACAAGGTCAGTATCTTGACGTTGTCGGACTGGTTGACGTTCCATGATAGGTTGAGCAAGTCCAAATGGTGCTGCAGATCGTCCGACATGCCATCTAAGCGGGTATCCAAGCGGTTTGTGACCTCTTGGCAGCAGCCACAGACGTCAGTCGCGATCCACAAGAGCTGGTTGTCGGGCTCTCCGTTCATCGTTGTTACAATTTCCGCAAGGACCCGCATGTCGACGTAATATCCTTTGCCGAGCTGGCGAACTGACGGTGTATTATGGAATCGGTCATGATAGCCTTTAATGTCCAGGCGCGGAGGTTGGTG